TTTGGGAACCGTTCCTCTTCTGGATTATATCGTCTGTCTGAAATTCCTCCATGTGTGAAATGGCAGCCCTATACCGGTTTACTCCACAATGGATCAAAAACGGCTTCAAAACATTTTTTAAAAGGCTAATGTGAAATTCCTCTATGATTCTAACATTTCTCTGAAATGAAGAAAATCAACCACACCTATCTGTTAGCACACCAAAGAGAGAAACTGTCCTGGATGACCATATCATCACTATTATTAAATCTGCATGCCCAGCCAAGTGCCAAGAAGCAAACAAAATTAATAGTCTGAGATTATTGTCACAAAGTACACTACCTGTAAAAGCATTTTCATCTTACATTATTATGAGCTTTCTAAAAAGTCTTTAAAATCTGCACCAAGATGTATCACGTCTTCCTGGACTATATATTTACACAGTACATAAATAGACCATTTCTTGGAAGTCAAACATTACATACTTTGTACATAAAGACATAAAATTAACAAACATCCTGTTTTTATATGTCTATTTAATGTAGAATTTCTGAGAAGTGCTCTACCTATTGCTCACATCTGATTGTGCTTACACAGTCCCATTTGTATTTATGGGCATTCTTACAGACTTAAAAAAAAATTACGAATAGCTATTAAAATATACCCTGAAAGAAGACAGTGTAATTGTAGCTACAAGATGAGAATTACTTGCCACAATGCAGGAAGTACTATGGCAGAAAGATTAGTGGTTTCCTGTGTGGCACAAAAAGAGCTAGTGCTTCAGTTCCTGTGGTAGATAAGGCATATATCTCTACAGTGCATATAAATATTGCCTATGAAATTAAACTCTTTTCCGCTAACACTCTAGCATTTACAACAAGCTGGTCAAAAATCACTACAATTCCAAGAAAACTCACATGAAAATGTTTGACCAGAGTTAAGTGCGGTTAACACACGACACTGGGTATGAAGGTAATCCAGGTAACAGAGTACAAGACTTGCATACTTCCCTGGTGTGGGGCCATGGTTCACTGGCAAAACATCTGGTTTGTGTGTAAATGGTCCCACTTTCAACCCCTGTCATCTCCAATTAAAATGATACGGTGGTTGGTGATGTGAAAGACCTCAACCTAAAACCCTGGAGAGCAACTGCCAGTCAGAATAAGCAATGCTAACCTTGATTCAGTATAAAAGCAGTTTCATGTGTTCAAATGCTCCCCCACAGACACACAATCAAGGCCTTCTGAGTTTAATTGCTTCTCCACATAGGCCACATTGTGTGTGTGATTCATGTACCACAGAGAAGAGCATTCCAAAATGTGATCCTTCACCTGAAAACTGCAGTCAGTCCTACTACCTCAAGTCTTTGCCACTCCATTCCCTTGCACTTGTGAACCTGGCTCAAGTAGCATTATTCAAAGGAATGTTTAATTATGCGTATTTAGGATTAGGCCTAAAGGACAAGGCATAGAACTAGTGCCACAGACAGAATGTACATATCCTCCAACATCATTTCAGATGCTGTATTTTTCAATTAAATTACTTCTTGCATTCATCAGCCAGTCACTGAGAGCAAAAGTCTCTTGCGATTTGTCTGTTGCTTGCCTGGTTCATTTCAGGCAGAAAGTGGGATTTTGAATTTCTGACGTACTCCATACAAATACAAGCAAGAAATGCATGACGCGGACAGTATGCTGATTTCCTTCAGCTCTGAGAGTGATCACGCATAGAGAAACCAAGGGACATACATGCAAGTGGTGCCCTCACGTGTGAATTTAGCTCTGTTCCCTCAGTTATAGAAACCACAAGCATGGTGTCGTAGTACATGAGTAATCATATTTTTTCTTTTTCCAAAGCTTGAGGCTTGTTACAAAAATCTATTCCAGAAGTTCCTAAACTTTCACAAAAAGGAATGAAATGAATACAGCAAAAGAGGGAGCAAGGATGTTGCTTTTCATGGCTGTGATGTCTCTTACGTGTGTTACTAGGGACGATCTTTTTGTGTGGGTGTCTTCTAGAAAAAATACAGACTTAGCGCGCCAAGTGAACATTCTGTTGTCCACAATGGGCATGAACCTGGTTAACAGTTAAGCTGGCCTGCTCCCTCCTTCCTTCCCCATCCCAGTTAATTCCAATGAGTTGTGATATCTGAGTGTTAGCACCTGGACAAGCTCGTATCTTCCTCACAAACTGGGATTCAAAATCAGGATAGTTTAGAACAAATTCTCCAGGCATCTGCAATGGGATATCACAACCAGTGTTCCCTCTAAGCTGAGTTAGTGTGAGCTAGCTCACAGTTTTTTAGCCTCCAGCTCACAGATTTCTATCTTAGCTCAGGAAGGATGGCTCCAGAGCAAACTAATTTCTGCAGTAGCCAAATAGCTCACTCACAACTTTAATGCTATTAGCTCACAAAATGCTCACAAGACTCCACAGCTTAGAGGGAGCATTGATCACAACTAACTGAAGACTTTCATTTTTAATCTCTACACACTGCCAGGGGATTGTTTATGGATGTTTTATGTATGTTTTAATTGTATTTATATATGCATTTTATGTAAGCCGCCCTGAGCCCGCCTTGGCTAATATAAATCAATCAAATAAATAAATAAATAATGTTCATAATAAACAAGAATAAAGAGAAATATCTGAGAAATCAAAAATAGCTGTTCTATTCCTTTCTCTTTTGTGTGCATCTTTGTTTAAAAAAATAAAAAATAAAGGGTGTACAATGCTAAAGAAACAAGCTTAGTCGTCGACTCATTTCTTTGTCTCTGAGAATGGCAGGGAGGAGATGAAGCAATTTTCCCTCAGTTTTTCTTGATTAGTTTTCAATACTTTCATTTATGTGAAAAAGTTCTACTTAACTTTATCAAGTGTTGTGCTTCTGCATATACATACCTTTACAGAGAAACATAACTCAAATTTCAACAGTGTCATCATCACACAGAGTTGTGAATGACTGTGATATTTAAAAAATACAATTAAGTTGAGAAACAAGAATTATGTACAGAACAGAATAGATGATTATCAGTTATTAGGGAAATGCAGAGGAAATGATGGGATAAAAGACGAAGTTGGAACGAATCTTGCAAACTGTTCCCCCCCCCCCAACACCAAAGTTACTAATTATATGAAGCATCATCAGGATACCGTGTTCATAAGCAAAACAACAGGCCCTGTCCCCAGAGAGTGTACACTCTACACTGGATAATGGGGAAAACAACAGAGAAAGAAAAACCAGTAAAAGGGGTAAGGGGATGAATGTGGCTCATTTACCTGTGCTTTGGGACCTCACTTAGGAGAAAAGGGGGGGGGGGACTTAATTACATTTAAGGATATAAATTAAGGGGCTATGTCAAAGGCCTTCTGGAAAATGTGGTTGTTGAGCAGTTTGAAGGACAAGAGAGCAATGACCTGTAAACTTGGAGCTACATAGATCAATTATGTACAATACATGCAGTGAAGATGGATGGGTTGTAACTGGAATAGGAGCTTTGGGTGACAATGCATAGCAATGATGGATGCATGAAGACACAAGGAACAAAATATTCTGAGGCTCCAGCTGAGAAAAGAAAACAGAATGAAAACACAGTGATCCTGAAGAGGTTCTGAGGAGGGTTGGGTGACTGGTGTAAGGTGAATATTTGTAGGTCCATTGAAGACAAGGCAAATGGGGACATAATCCTGTGATGGAAAGACTGGCAAAATAGAGTCAGGGAGAGTGGTAGAGCAGAAGGATACAAAGCAGTTCGTGAGGTATGAGGAGTGTAAAGAATTGTCCATAAAGACACAACTGGATAGGGCTTTCTCTGTAGCCTCCACAGTATGGTTGGCCAGCTGTACGTTGGCACCCCGATCATGCTCAAGTGCAGCGCCATGCAGCAGACCAGACTGCTCAGGTGCAATTACCATCAGGTTTTCCAGTATCACACAGTTCTTGCTTCAAAGACTTGTTTCCTGCTGTGTGAACTGGCAAGAGTGAAATGGGAGCCAAGGATACGGAGCAAGGAAAATACCAGAACAGCAGAAGATCTGATGGGAGACAATGGGAGATGATAGAGAATGAAAGTGGTACCACTACGATGGAAAAAAGCTGAATACCAAAAGCAAGAGTAAATAAAAGAGAGAAATAAAAAGGGAGCCACTGGGGTGAAAAGTGTGAAGTTCATGGAAGCCTCTCCACCAAAGAAGGCTCCAACCTGGCAAGCAGTTGGATAAATGCTCCTTGTACTGCAGGGTATCGGGTGGGAAGGCGGCATGGTATATAGCCCAATTGTGTCAGATCTCAGAAGCTAAGCAGGATTGGTACTTGGACTGGAGATCACCAAGAAAGGTTCTTCAGAAGACGGTAATGGCAAAAAACCTCTCCTTCTCATCTCACTTGCCTTGAAAGCCCCTTGCTGGGGCTGCCAAACCATAAGTCAGTTGTGACCTGATGACCGTTGCATAAGTACTGCAGCTACTAAAACCAGACAGAGCAAAATTTAGCAGATTATGACAAAGCCCTTTCTCAAAGGCATGGAAACAAGCTGTTGTTACTCAGTGGTGTGAAAAGTGCATTCTGCACATACTCAGGCACCCTAATTTTTTGGAGATGAAGAGCCATTCAGTCTGAATGGTTTAAGAATTAAACTCTGGCTCAGAGGTTAATAATTCGGGGGCGGGATGGCTCCTCAAAGTGTAAACCAGGAGATTCCTGGATGATCTCGTTTAAGGAGGAAGGGAGGTCACTGATACCAAGCGGGCTAGATGGGCCCCAGTATAACAGCTTAATTTTCTCCTTAAAAAGGGGAGGGGTGTCAATCAGAAACCTGAGGAACTGGCACACGCTTTGCTATGGGAGCGCCAACGTGCATACGAATCCCAGATCGGCTGAGCGTCGGAGGGCGCCATTCGGCAGCTCTGCACATGCTCGGGGGGGGGAGGCAGCCCCGCCCAGCGCGCTCTGCACATGCACAGAGCCACTCTCGCCTCGGGGCTCCGGGGGGCAGGCGGCGTGCCGCGCGTGCTACCCTTACCGAAGAGGCTGCTGCTGAAGCCGTCCCACACGCAGCCGGCGTCGTCCCAGACCCAGCGGCTGCGGAGGCAGGAGAAGAAGGTGAAGCTGACGCCGAAGAGCGAGACGAGCAGGTCGCTGAGGCTGATGTTGACCAGGAAGAGGTTGGTGGGCGAGCGGAGCCGCTTGAACTTGGCGTAGAGCACCAGCACCAGCAGGTTGTTGCACAAGCCCAGCAGGCCGATGGTGGCGATCAGCAGGGCCAGCAGCTCGTAGGTGCTGGCGCTGAAGGGTGGCCCCACGTCTTCGGCCGCCTGCTGCTGCTCGGCGTCCCGTTTCCCCGGCTTCAGGCTGCCGCCGCTGCCAGTCCTGTCGCCCTCGCCGCTGCTGTTCCCCGAGTACATGACTCGGCATGGCTCCGGCGCGCGGGCTGTGGGAGAGCGCCCAGCAGCAACCCAGGTCCACCCTGGTCCCGGCGCCCGAGCCCATCGCCCAGCCCGCGCGGCGGCTCTTGGCGCCAAAGGCGGGGAGGGGCGGAGCCAGCAGCCCGGGCTGAGGGGAGGGCTGCGGGAAGCCCCCTTGAGCCGGCCGGCCAATCCTAGGCGCCTCGGCTCGCCACAAGTCCCGGGATGGAGGTCAGCTGGACTGGCTTCCTTCCGAGTGACAGGCGTGACAGGAACGAACGAACGAGAGCCCTGCTACTGTGCCAGCCGAAATAGCCCTTGCTAGGATGGAGGCTTTGGATCGGCCGGCCGGAGAAGCGTATAGAATAGAGCCCGAGTTGTTGCCCACCTGGCTGTATTATTATTTGACGGAGGCTTAATTCTTCGGGGCTCCAAGAAAAGTAGAAAAGCTATTACGGATGGATGATCCTCTTTTCTAATTTTAGGGATGGATCAGGAAGTCTTGAATAACTTGATTAGTATGTATGAATGAATGAATGAATGAATGAATGAATGAATGAATGAATGAGCTACCACAGATAGACCTTTCCTAATGCCTAACACAGTTGGTTGAGTCATTCATTGATTAAGTACGGTACTCAGCTTGTACACGTGCATGATGTATTGGCGGGCAGTTGGGGGTGGGATCAGACATTTCTGTTGGTTTATTTTTAGAAAAATCATGCCAGGTCTCCAGGGAGATCATAACTAAAACAAAATCAACCAAGAGAATAGAAAAACATTCACTAAACCCCAATGGTGCCAATAAAACAAGCCAAGCCAATGTAAACAAGTCCTGGCATTAAAGACTATAAATCAAGTAGAGCCATCTAAGGAGATAGGATAAAACAGTCCTCGAGCTAGAAATAGACAACGAAACAACTAAAATGATGGAACCCCTTAATTTAAAGCCTGGGTAAATCAGTGTTTTGGCTGGGCGCCTAAAGGCAAGGAAGGCAGGCACCAGACAAACTGCAAAGGGGAGGGCATTCCAAAGGCAAGGCACCCTCACAGAAAAAGCCCTGTCTCAGATTGCCACTCACCTTCCCTCTGAGGGATTATTTTAGTTTCTTATTTTACTTCATCTATACTCTGTTTTTCTCCCCAATGGGGAGAAATCAGCTTACAACATTCTCCCCTGCTCCCTTTTATCCTCACAACTCTGAAAGGTAGATTAGGCTGAGAGTGTGTGACCCAGCCAGGTCAACCCAGCAGGATTCTATGGCAGAGTAGGGAATCGAACCTGGGTCTCCCAGAGGTTAGTACAACACTCTGACCATGCCGGCTCCCTCCCGAGTGATCTCGCCCAGCACTTTCATGTAGATGTTAAATAGAGAGATAAAATGGATCCATGCAGGCCCATAGCACAACTGCCTTGAGGCCAAAGTTATGGGGCCAAGCAGCAGCTTCCCAGCACTACTGTCTGGAATCAGCCAGTCAAGTAATAACAGAACCACCAAAGCATGGTGCCCCCCCTTCCAGGCCCACTCACCTTCTCTAGAAGCATACCATAGTCAATGGTACTGAAAGCCATTAACTGGGGTGCACGCCCCCTGCCAGCCACTCTCCCTGCAAAGATAATAGTCAGGACAACCAAGGCCATTTCTATCCCAAACCCAGACCTAAATCCAGATTGAAATGGGTCCAGATCATCCATCTCCTCCAACATTGCCAGACGCCATGCAGCCACCACTTGCTCAAGTACCTGGCTGGCCCAAGCATGAAATGTTGGCCACTGGGCAGAAATTATTTGGTCATGTGAGTCCAGGACAATGCTAATTATTAATGCTCACTTGTTTGTGCAAGGACAACAGTGAAATATTATTTCATTTTTATCCCAGCCTTCTGAGAAGCTTAGGCATATATTGTTCTTCCTTCCCTCATACAACAGTCCTGTAAGAGAAGTAAGGCTGGCTGAGAGTGGCACAATAAGTAATGTAAATAATCTGCTTCCAGCATGAAATATAGCATGCCCCTACTCAATGTTGTGCTCCTCCCAAGTACGATTTATAGGACTCCCAGGGGTTTAGACTGGATCAAAGGAAAACCTCCTCTGATCTGATTCAAAGGGGGAAATGCAGGGTGGCTGTCGCTGGCGCATCCATGTTGGTACAGCCAGTCTGGGGACATAGTGGAGGTAAGCTCCATCTTCTAAAATGGCAGAGCCAAGCCCGTGTAGGTCTTTTTTCCCCTGTTCCCGGCTGAACTGTGGTGTAGCTTTAGCTGCAGGAGGAAAGGGGGGAACTGCCAAGCCACTGCAGAAGGGGGGAGAAATACACAACTCGAACCATGTCAGAGGTTCTGTTTCAGTGTGGTAGGGAATGGGTGCAGGGAATAACATTGAGGAGCAGAGGGACAAGGGATGTAGAGGGCTGTTTTTTATTTTTCAACATTTCTCAAAATCTCAAGGATTTCAATTATCCCCCCCCCTCCAGTCATTGCATGTAGCTGTCCTTAGCATTATTATGAAATGAATTGGAAAACTGTTATATAACTCACAGAGATTGATGAAATGCCTTGAGACAGTCTTTTGGCGATGGCATGAGTTTAGAACCTACCATCTGTTTTGATTGACAAAATGGGACAATGAAGTTGCTGGACACTTCACGAAATAAATATCCAGGATGCTAAAAAAAAATTGTTCCTGAAACAGATTCTTTAAATGGGGCTTAACTGTCTGAATTGTTTCTGTATGTATGAATGAAGGATGATGCCATCTTCTTTTCTATCTGTTTTAATAGACTTGCTAGGTGGGGGGGAGGAAGAGCCAAACAGTTTTAGGCACTAAAAAGTTTGTGATCCGCTGCTGTTTAATAATAAATAATATGAGTTTATTCTTCATTCACAGATTCCTGTAAGTGAATTAAAAGATCAGTTTCCTGGAAATATGCAATGACTCCCAATTTGCAAAATCAACAAATGCTCATCGCTCTGCTTGCTCAGCAGGCAGCTGGATTCATTTACACGAGAATTTATTTGAATGAGTTCTGTGTCTTGTTTGTGTTGTGGAGTTTTCTGAATGGAGAGTTCAAGGCCCTGGGAATTTCAGAGAGAAACAGTAAGAGGCACAGAGGGCGGAACCCCCGATTTGAAAACCAAGAGCCATTCTTCGAATGTTTATTAGTATGGATGAACTATAGCACTTGGTAAAATATTCTGAACCACTCTTGTTTGGTGAGAATGACTGAAACTCCGATCAGAGTGCACACATTGCTTAATTTCTCATGGGGCTGATTAATGATTTAGAACAACAAATCACTGACATTTTCCTATGGAACATCAGTCATATCTTTTTAAAAATAGCTATTGTAATTTGATTATCTGATCTTTAAAACTGATTTGTAATTGGCATATAGCTGACTTCTTATTTTACTCAGAGCCCATGGATGGCACGTTTTCATCGAGCAGTCCATGCCACAAGCTTATTTTATCATATAATCATAGAATTATTAAATCTGAAAGACTCTTCCTAGTCTAACCCCATTCTTGATGGCTTTTATTTTATTTATTTTATTGGATTTATATCCTGCCTTCCCCGCCTAGTAGGCTCAGGGCAGGTTCCATCAGACATAATAAACAAAATATAGCATACAAAGATTTAAAGCAGTTAAAACACCATCAAAATACAGCAACATACTCTGGTACCAGTCATAGTTAAACCTTCACAGATGCCATCATTAATCCTCAGTAGTGGATTGCCACAAATTCTTAGGGTGAGTTCAGACGGCTCCTTAGATCCATGTAAGGCACGGGTGCCTCATGGATTTAAATGTAATGTCCAGACATCAACATCTGGGAAACGTCCGTCTTCCGTGAGCATCCTGTTTTGCCGCACCTCGGAGCCGTACTAAAAAGATTCTACTTTAAATCTGGAGTTTTGGTTCCGACGGGCCCCCGTCTGATCATTCCAGCGCGCAATTAAAAATGGCACCCGTCCAGGATGGTCTGATGTCACATGCAAGGATAAACAAGGTCGCAATATCATGCCTATATCACATGCGCGGATAAACAAGGTTGCAATATCATGCCTATGCGCATACGCAAAAAGATTTTTTTAAAAAATAAACCACTGCACATGCCCCTTCAGTGGACGCCGTCTAGACAATCCAAGAAATAAACCACTGCACATGCCTCCTTCAGTGGACGCCGTCTAGACAATCCATAGTGGAAGCAGCACGCGGTAAGGCAATTCCCCCGTGGGATGTCTGGTCGTGTGAGGATGGATTAAAAAGATTGGGATCAAATTTGAGCTGGCATAATGGTGGGATTAGCTGTCTGTCTGAACGCACCCTTATCTTATTATATTTGACTTGATCTTTTGTGTTAACCCTCTTATCTGTAAAATAGGAATAATGGGGTAACATACATCATATGTATTTAATCCAGGTTTAAAATCTCATGGGGGAGATCTAACTCTGCTTAACCAGGGCCTGCCAGCATCACAGGTATAGGGTTGCCAGGTTCTCCTGGCCACCAGTGAAGGATGGAGGGGGGGAGGGTTGCTAGCTCCAGATTGGGAAACTCCTGGAGATTTGGGGTCATCCTGGGGAGTATGGGGATCTCAGTGGGGTATAATGCCACAGAGTCCACCCTCCAAAGCATCTGTTTTTTTCCAGGGGAACTGATCTCTGGAGGTGAGATGTAATTCTGGGGGATCGCCAAGTTCCACCTGGAGGCCGTCATCCCTGCAGGTAACTGGAGTTAGGTTCTAAGTGGGATTCTATGTGCAAGCATGAGAGAGGACTGGATTGTGCATGGTTCATACACATCCTGACAGTGTAGGTTAAAAGTGATGTCGCCCTGACCTGGATAGCCCAGGCAAGCCTGATCTCGTCAGATCTCAGAAGCTAAGCAGGGCTGATCCTGGCAAGGAATTGGATGAGAGACCACCAAGGAATACCAGGGCTGTGACGCAGGGGCAGGCAGCAAGCCACCTCTCTGAACGTCCTTGCCTCCCAGCC